AGCCGTACTCGCTCGCTTCGCTGGGCATTTAAAATTAACATTATTATTATATTTATTGTCATTATTATTAGGGAGTCCAACACTCATATAAATATTAGCCTATCCATTAAGTACATGTATTTTCTACACGGATACCAAGTTTCAAGTCAATTAGTTATAACGGAACATCCGTAAAAACCACTGTAGATTTATATATTAATATAGATTGTGTTAGTGCTATCGTGTTCAAAATTAGCATCTTCGTTTCCTAGAACGGTTTCTCTTATGCCCACAATATATTAAAAGCGGCTCATAGTTGTTTAATTTTTTTATATATTTTATCGTTATATCAGCAAATCCACCACACGAAAAGAATTCATTAGGCAGCCATCACAGCTTGATTGCACGAAAGCGTGTTCGATTTGATGCTCTACACACATTCTGTTCCACATCCCCGATCAGTAGTCATGTGTGTGTGTCCAGTTTTGTAATTAAAACACCGTCTAATCGCCATTTCAAATGAGTTTTGCTTCACCGGTCATAACGTAGAATTAAAAAATGACATATCATAATTATGTGATTTTTATTCCCAAGCTATTTTATTTCGCTGGTAGCCTAATTGGCTATTTCAGCTACGCCCGGACGGGTAGGTCAGCTCAGGGGCTCAATCTGAGAGAATTTGCTCACACTACTCGTAGTAAGAGCCGTGCTTCGCAAAATCTACCACCAGATCGAAATCGCGACCCACTGAGAAGATCCAGCGAGAAAATCAGTGGGTTATATCTATGGGCTAGTTATCAGTTTATTGGAATATTGGATAATAATTCGTTTCTAATCAATGATACTTCAGGATTATATTCATTAACTTAATTTTTTATTTTATTGTTGACATTTTAAAAAGCTAACTACTAACTCGACAAAGCTCATTAATAGCTACTAAATAAAAGAAGAGTTGAAACAGTCCTTGCAAATGTATGTTGTAAATTGATATCATGAATAAGGAGTCCAATATTACAAGAAATTGGAATAATCAAACACGTCTGCACAAATATAGTCTTATTTGTGCAAACCACATGTGAAAATTTTTCCAACGAAAATAGTGCACTGTAGATGACCCATTTCCAATAGAGCATTATTACGTACCAAAGTAATTTTCGACCCTACTGGAGATGAGAACTGGAAATATTATTTAAATTGAAAATAAATTATGAAAATTATGTCATCAACGTTTTAGGACGATATTGTCCTATTCTTCAAAAGTCATCAAACGTTTGAGCATATACTTAAACATCTTGATGATGAAAGTGCTAAAACTGAACTGTCAATAAATACAGAAACACAAAAACGATGTCTAATTGCCAACATAATGAAGCTATCAATAAAATCAGTACAACTAATATTTACTGATGATTGAATGCAAAAAGAAACTGATATATACATTACAAACACAAGGACAAAAATCTGCTCCATTAGCGAAGTCATAAAGAACAGAGAAATGACAATGAAAAAAAAGAGAAACTTTAAAGTATAATATGTATCTTGCCATGTTTGATATATGATGCCCAGACGTGGCTTTAACAGACCAAGCACATCACAAAGTCAAAATTGGCCAAAATGGTATAGAATGAAGAGTGGTTGGACCAAAAAGGAAAGATAAAATAAGATCATAAGACTAAGAAGAATATAAAAAGTAAGCCAGAAATATTAACAAAATATTAAAATTAATAAATAAAATTAAAGTTGAAATGGACGGTATTTATATTATATTAAAATATTGGTTTATTACAACTTAAGTAATTGAGAAAGAATAACGGCATTTTGTAACTTATTTTCCATGAATGAAGCTATAATACCCTTAAGCAGGTTTTAATAGTTAGGCTCTTTAAGACGTTTTATTTAAATAAATGACTGAATTGAGCACATATTGGGAGTTTATTTAGTTTTACACGGCTATGTCGAGAAACTTTTTCTGCCTTCAGTGTAAATACTGGTGGTAGGACCTCTTGTGAGTCCGCACGGGTAGGTACCACCACCCTGCCTATTTCTGCCGTGAAGCAGTAATGCGTTTCGGTTTGAAGGGTGGGGCAGCCGTTGTAACTATAATTGAGACCTTAGAACTTATATCTTAAGGTGGGTGGCGCATTTACGTTGTAGATGTCTATGGGCTCCAGTAACCACTTAACATCAGGTGGGCTGTGAGCTCGTCCACGCATCTAAGCAATAAAAAAAAATAAAAAAAATATATAAAAATAGGTATATGACGGATAGACTGATTCCATGGGGTTTTTAAAATGATGACGCCAGCACAGCGATATATTACTATAATTACGGTAATATATCGATGCGTCAGCATCTCTCTTTCATCGTCATTCTTTTCATCATTGCGTTCCATAGTGACAGTAATTAAAAGTCACTGTTCCAATGAATTCCATTTATTACATTTCAAGTGTACATCGATAACAGCAGAGAGCTCCGTTCCGATACTTTAAGACAAATATTTTTTTTGTATGGAAACTAGCGACATCTTGTAGCGGATGCCCCTAAACTTATATGTTGTTAAAATTAAGGCATTTAATTATTGTACAACTAAACACAGATACGAATAATAATAATAAATCATACAAGTCTTTATTTGTTATGGATAAACGGGATTAAATTTTATCAATTTATGGTTTTTGAAAATTAACAAATTCCTTCATTAAAAATAAAATATAGGATACGCAATATGTTACTGCCATCTACAGGAACAGTGAGAAACTAATTGAAGCGAAGCCATCTAGTGGCCGACGCCCGTAAACATTTTCGTTGAGTGCTTGAGTTGCTTAACTATAACTAATTTATGTGTATTATCTATGTGCTTGAGCCTGAAGTTTTTGCGCGACAATAATCACTCATATTTATAGTAAAAAGTGGGGGTAGCTGATATAGTCCTGGATACTTGAAATAAAAACATTATTATTATTATTATTAGTCATGAATTCTCTTAAATACCTACCGTCAAACAGTTGTTACGTAACATAAAATAAACAAAGCAAAACAAAACAAAAATATACAAACAAAAATATAAAGAAAACAGTTAACCTTAACTATTTTTAGTTAACCAAATAGTAACGTTATTAAAGCAAATAATAATATATTTTAATTCAAATAGTAGTTCGAATTTTAGCACAATCAATAACAATAAACAAAGAGATACTTTGAGAAATAGAACGTAATAAATTGTTATTTGAAGTGTTGCAACGATAAAGGCTTATTATTATATTAAACATTAAAACAGTCCTATGTGTTTTGTCGTTTACTTCAAAACACGATGATAACGTGTTATTTATGTAACCTCTTGCCCTTCCGATAAGCAATTAGGTTACACAAGAAGTTTCATACCGACAAGTTGCGCTCGAAGTGTACACGCAACATTGTATCATCCGAGCATCATACTAATTTCACTATAAATTGTACCAGTGTTTGCCCAATGATATAAAGGGGAACGCCAGGTTGCCGTAGTATTTTTTTTATTTCCTTTGTAGACAGACAAGCATACGACCCACCTGATGGTGAGTGGTCACCGTCGCCCATGGACTTCAGCTATGCCAAAGGCAGAGCCAAGCCGCTACCTACCGCTTAATACTCTCCACAAGCCTCGTTTGAAGAAGGACATGTCATAGCGCTCGGGAAACACCGTGGAGGGGAGCTCATTCCATAGCCGAATGGTACGTGGCAAAAAATACCTCTGGAAACGCACTGTGGATGACCGCAGTGGCTCCAGGTAGTATGCATGAACTCTACTCCGGTGGCGGGCGGTGCGATGGTAAAAACGAGATGCCGGTATCATCTCGAACAATTTAGGCCCACAGTCCTTTTTTTTCCTACCTAAGCTGATAGCCTTGAGAAGCTATTTCAGCGTAGCCTTAACTAGTAGGTGAGCTCACGGGGCTTAAACCTGACGACGTGTTAACACGAACCCTAGCGAGAGTCGTGCTTCACAGAATCTACCACCAGATCGGAAACGCGACCCACTGAGAAGATCCGGCGAGAAACTCAGTGGGCCCACAGTGCACATTTATACAGACTCATGATAATAATAGCAGACAATGGCAATAATTAATTAGTAAAAGAAGTGAATTAGAAAAAAGTTGGTATTTCAAAGTTATTCAATAATTTTATCTCTTGTCAATATATAATACCCTAATCATTAGTTTTTTTATTTTTTTTATTGCCCTTGTAGGCAGACGAGCATACGGCCCACCTGATGGTGCGTGCTTACCGTCGCCCATGGACTTCAGCAATGCCAGGGGCAGAGCCAAGCCACTGCCTACCGCTTAATACTCTCCACAAGCCTCGTTCGAAGAAGGACATCTCATAGCGCTCAGGAAACACCGTGGAGGGGAGCTCATTCCATAGCCGGATGGTACGTGGCAAAAAATACCTCTGGAAACGCACTCTCGATGAACGCAGCGGTTCCAGATAATATGGATGAATAGTACATAAAATATATTTCTACGTAATTCGTTTCCAAATGATTCTTATCCACCTGATGGTCGTCTGGAAGAGATCGCTCTTAGCGATAGACCGCCAATTGTACTTTTTTTGTATTTAATGTTTGGCATTGATTTTTTTTTTGTGTACAATAAAAAATACTCTCTGTCTTCCTCTCTCTACTGGTGGTAAGACGTTTTGTGGAACACCACCACCTTGCCTATTTGTGCCGTGAAGTAGTAATGCGTTGGCATTTATGTTGTAGATGTCTATGGGCTCCAGTAACCACTTAACATTAGGTGGCCCGTGAGCTCGTCCACCCACATAAGCAAAAAAAAACAATTTATTCATACATACGTTACCTTGATTTAACAAAAATGTACGTAAAACCCACCTTTTTTGCTTACCTGGTTTCACCTTGACTGGTGGGTGAGAATGGCGACCCACTGAAAAGATCCGGCGAGAAACTTCCTGTCTTTATTATAAACCCATACCTAAATGATATTCACAATGAAGGAGCACTGAAATAAAATTCTAATTCTTTTCAGATACTCCCCTACATTGACGGCTTCAACCACGTTTCCAAGATCGCAGCCCTGACGGACGTGGAGATCAGTCTGGTACGAGCCTGCGTCCAGAACCTGGTGTACTACGGCGTGGTGACCCTTGTGCCCATCTTCCAGTACTGCGCGGTCTACAGCGCGACGCCGAAGCTAAGACAGCTGACGAGATGCGCAGGCCTTCAGAGACAGTGCGTCGAATTCTGTGCCAGATCTCGTAAGTTGCTTATTACTCTACGAAGCTTCACGCTGCTCTTCAGCCCTCTTGAGTTTCGCGCCGGCTCTTCTCAGCGGGTAGCGTTTTTTTTTTTTTATTGCTTCGATGTGTGGACGATCTCACAGCCCACCTGGTGTTAAGTGGTTACCCATAGACATCTGCAACGTAAATGCGCCACCCACCTTGAGATGTAAGTTCTAAGGTCTCAGTATATTTACAACAGCTACCCCGCCCTTCGAACCGAAACGCGTTTCCGTTCTGGTGGTAGATTCTGCGAAGCACTGCTCTTGCTAGGGTCAGTGTTAGCAACTTCGCCAGGTTTGAGCCCCGAGAGCTCACATACTTGTCCGGTAACGCTGATATAGCCTCTCAAGGCTATCAGCATAGGTAGGTATAAAAACTGCTCTTGCTAGGTCTAATGTTAGCAAATTCTCTCAAGTTGAGTCCGTTAGCTCACCTACCCGTCCAAGCGTAGCTGGGATACCCAGCAAATGGGTAGGGAAAATGAAAGAAGACACACTAGTGTATGTTCAAAATAGTTGCAATTAGTTATAGTTAATAGTTAATAGTTGCAATTTGAAGTCGTCGTAGCCTAAAGGATAAGACGTCCGGTGCATTCGTATGTAGCGATGCACCGGTGTTCGAATCCCGTAAGCGGGTACCAATTTTTCTAATGAAATATTTACGTACTTAACAAATGTTCACGATTGACTTCCACGGTGAAGGAATAACATCGTGTAATAAAAATCAAACCCGCAAAATTATAATTTGCGTAATTACTGGTGGTAGGACCTCTTGTAAGTCCGCACGGGCAGGTACCACCACCCCGCCTATTTCTACCGTGAAGCAGTAATGCGTTTCGGTTTGAAGGGTGGGGTAGCCGTTGTAACTATGCTGAGACCTTGGAACTTACATCTCAAGGTGGGTGGCGCATTTACATTGTAGATGTCTATGGGCTCCAGTAACCACTTAACACCAGGTGGGCTGTGAGGTCGTCTATGTAGATACGGTGTATAATATAACCTAACTAGTACATCAGGGAATCGATCGTTCTAAAACAATTAGTAAATGTTATTTATGAAAGAAATTACGCCAAAACTAGCAAGTTCAATTGTAATTCAAGCTATTGTTTATAAATTCTGATATTGCGCCAAAGTAATCAAATTATTTTATTGTCATCGGCCCTTGGTACGTGAGCAAAATTTTTAACTAAATCGGACGTCATATAGTTAATAAAAATTACATTGAAAAATTCCGTTACATAGATTAATATCAAGCTAATAAATTATAGTTGTAACTATACCGAGACCTAAGAACTCATATCTCAAGGTGAGTGGCGGCGTTTACGTAGTAGATGTCTATGGGCTCCAGTAACCACTTAACATAAGGTGGCAACAATCTAAACAATAAAAAAAAAGTTTAAATCCTTAAAAAAACATCTTTACACTTAGTCGAACTAAAAATCTTGGGGTTGTTTTTGTCAAACTAAACAAAACATGGATATGAATAATATATGTGAAGTTTATAGAAATTTCTAGAAGTATATTACACACGGGCAGACAACAAAAAATGTTTAGTTAGAAACTTGTTTCAAACATGAAAATACAATAGACAGTTTTCTAATGTATTCATATTACAAAGATCTTTGCCGGTTGCATACATAATCAATTGACGTATTCCAAAGGTTTCAACACGAATTCAGCTGACAACAGCAACGTATGCTATTAGCGGAATCCTCATTGAAATTTGATGTTGTTAACTTAACACTTTTTAACGTTTTTTTTATTGGGTTGCTATTTATATGTAAAGGGATCTTTAAGCGTCTTTTAATACGCTTTTATTAGCTTCAGACGTATGTATGTTTGTAACGGAATCTTTGAACATGATTTTGACCCCCTTCAAAACGTCGGATTAACTCGAAGTTTGGTATACTTATTAAGGAACGATGACAATTCAATTTAAAAAAAAATTAAAAAAAAAAAAAATTGAATTTCAACAAAAAAAATAATAATAAGTAATAGTTTAAAAACACTAACAAAACACGCTTTTAGAGAAATGAGAATTTTTTCTTACACTATTTTTAATTCAAATTTGTTAAAATTCATTTTCTATTTTTTAGTTGGATTTTCTATAAAAAGCGTATTTTGTTAGTTTTTTAAACTATTTTTTGTTTTTTTCATAGACTTCAAGACAAGTCTAAGTAATAAATATTATTATTACTACAAAAACGTTAAAGTTCACATTTGTAACTGTTTCCATTCTAGCACGGCACTTGCCCAAAGTCAGCGATATATTCCGTATGTACGCCGGAATGTCGTATGGGAGTACCATCAAGGACCTCTGCAGGAGGATGAAGCCACAGGAACTAGCTATAAACGAGAGGAAGTTGGTGCTATTCGGAGTGCTCGAGGGTCTTATACGAAGGGTTTATAAGGTAACCAAGAACTTCGTCTTTTTTTATTTATTGTTTAGATGGGTGGACGAGCTCACAGTCCATCTCGTGTTAAGTGGTTACTGAAGCCCATAGACATCTACAACGTAAATGCCGCCACCCACCTTGAGATATAAGTTCTAAGATCTCAGTATAATTGCAACGGCTCTACTACATGTGACTTACACACAATATGTATTTTTTTTTGGTTTTTGTTGTTTTCCAGTATCCAATAACTTTGAACGACGAGACGGCGTCGCTTCGAAGCGACCACAGCCAGTCGGTAGCGAGGACGTACAACGGGCTCGTGTGCCTGGACGAGCTGTGCTGCCAGGCGGGTCTGTCCGCGTCGCAGCTCGACGACCAACTGGAGCGGGACACGAACGTCGCCTTCATCGTCAAGTGAGGGTAGTTCGAAAATGGAACTTAAAATAAAAAATAAAAAATTTAAAAAAGACGTGTGGCACTCGGGAACTGCCGCGGTAAAGCTATTGCATAGCATTTTTTATCAACTTATGCAATTATAATTAGACAATGATAATATAATATTAAAACAATAATAAAAGAAGACCACGCTATATTAAACATTAATAAAAGCAAAACATTAACTGTCCCCTTCACACTCATAAGCTAGACCGCGCGAGAAAGAGATGGGCAGACTTTTCATGATGCGCATGCAGTGTGACGTCACGCCACGCGCTTATCCACACTACACAAGCGCAACGTGTGAATGTGTTGAACGCGAGCTACATGGTGGGCGGAGTGAGGGGTGTTAGGTTTTTTTCGTTACGGAATTTCATGATTCGGTCGCCGCACTCAAGGCCCGCGATAAAAGCTATGCAATAGCTTAAAAACTTTTTTTTACGTATTGAGGGTAGAGTCTTCGCATATACAGCCCCATCGGAAGTTTGGAAGTTATTTGGAAATTACTAGGTACCAAATGAATTTTTGTATTATCGCTCATCCTTAATAGCAGTTTAACGTATGAAATGATTAGGTACTTGCAATCCAGAAGTCTCGCTTCAGTTCCCGTAACACAGTGGAAAGTATCTTCTGACAATTTATTACGTACAATTTATTAGTAATTAGTCTCTTTAACTTTGTTTAGGGATGAAAAATGTTATTATGCAATATTGATAAGGCGCTTGTTAATTTGAATTATCGTTAGGAAAGTTTGTTAAAAACAAATCAATCAACGAAAAAGAAAAAAGGCGAATTTTTTAAATATCAACAATTTTAGTAAATATTGCCAGTGTTGCCACTAAAAAAATTAAAGTTGCTCGTTTTCCAAGATACCAATCTGTAGAATACAATTTACGCAGATTGGCTTTAGCGCGTTTGTGAAGATTTATACATTTATTTTACTTGGGATTTAATCATGGAATTCTATTGACCGGGTGATTTATACAAAATTAAGTTTTAGAGCGTTATTATTTGTTAAAAGAAGGTTTGGTGCCGTAATATTTACACGAAAAGCATCGCTGTGACATTTAGAAATTGTTTGGTAAATAAACAGTTATATTTTTGTTTGTTGTTAAAAAATAAATGACCCCAGATTTTATATAGATCATTTACGCAGATCTAAAAGTTTTAAAGTTTTAGATATATGTTTAACGTAATGTAATATATAAAAATAGATCGTAAAAAAATTATATACATATATGTATGTATTTTTTAAATATATTATTAATTAATTATCTTATTCTATTCTCGATATTTATTTCGACACGTAGTCGAAGGCTCAAAGGCACAAATCGATTTCATTCTAAACAGAAATTAATGCGATATTTATAATATACAGGCTGACTGGTTGAACACTTTACATATTTATATAGATTGCTCAGTAATTGATTCTCGTTCTAATTAAGCAAAAAATTGTAATAATAATAAGGCCACTAAATTTCCAAAAAAAAAGAAAAACACCTTATCAATAAAAATTACAAATATAAACTTATGTTATTGGAACTCCACTTCGGGTATAGGCCTCCTCCAGCTTACTCCACTCTTTCCTATTCTTGGCTTTGTTTCTCCATTCTTCTCCAATTGTTGCTATTATTTCGTCGATCCATCTGCTCCTTGGCCGGCGTCTTCTTCTTTGGCCCACTGGTCCTTCCCATGTTGTGATTTCTAATGTCCATCTTTTGTCCTTCTTCTCTGTCCGCATATCTCGCAATATGTCCTGCCCAACGCCACTTTTGTGTTAGAGCGTACCTGAAAGCATGTATCAACTTTGTTTTTTTCCTAACCTTCGCTTCTTATCTTTTGTATTTTTCCTATTTTCAAATTTAACAAAAAAAAATATTTGCCTAATTTATCTTTAATTATCTATCAAAAAAAAAAAGCGTGGTCACTCGCGCCGTGCGCACTTGTAGTAACAGAATTTGTTTGTTTACACCGGTCGACGATCGCAGCATCGTTTGAACGCGGCGCGCTGATTGGATGCAACCTGCTCTCACTCACCCAGCGGCGCCTTAGCACTGCGGTGTCCACAAATGTCGAGCTTAAGCAGATTAATTTAATCAAGTTTTCCCGGTATTTCCTTTGTTTTTTTTTTATTTTAAGCGTTTCATCTGACCATGAATTATCATGTCCTTGATTATGTAACGTGTTCAACCAGTCAGTCTGTATATGTATAATATTAAACTTTTCGTTTTCTTATAGCTTGTTAGGTCTTTAGGAAAAGCATCGCTCAGTGAATTATAGGTTATGTGCTTTATATGTTATATAGTTTTGATCGTTTACAGAACTATAAACAGGTATAATTTTTTTAAAAATGAAATTTGCAATGCGCGAAAGATTCCGAACTTTAGGCGCGACCTTTGTACAAACATATACAATTATACAAACTTTATACAAACGTCCCCGATACTCTCGGCAGTTCGGACACGCAGGCTGGTAACCCCGTGGTTATAACACACTATATAGAAACGTTCCTACAGAATGCCGTGTTGTGCGGAACCGTGTTATAAAGACTAGATGCCAGTACAAAAACGGAGTGTATTTTTTTCTAAATTAAACATTTCAACTATGCATGTATGTATGTTTCTACCTTTACACAAAAAATAAGCAGCAAATTTTCAGTTGTTCTCAAATATTGTGTGTTCATAGGGCATAATGTAATATTCTGAGTAATTTTATTAAAAAATCTCGTTATCGTGTTGTAGAAATACCGTGTTATAAGAGGGATTTTCTCTTTTCGTGTTAGAGTGGGACCGTGTTATAGCAGTGTTACCTGTATACGTGATTCATGTCAAAGATCATTCATGACGGATTTGCGATAGTGATAAAGTTGAACGAGGTTGCCATCTTCGCCGAATGCTGTCATTTGGGGAAGTAAATTTGTCGTCAGTAGGCTAATATGCCTTAGGCGAATTATGCCGCTCCTAGCGATCTCTACAATTCGTTGCCCTTATACACAAAATCTTTGCAAGCATTGAAACAAACCACTTGTTGAATTGGTTTTGTGAACATATGTCATTAAAAAGACCATTCAGACTACGAATTCGAAGTGGGTGATGGCATTCCCATTGGACCTATGAGACCTGGGAACCATCTAACGTGACGTAAAAAATAAGCTCTACAAAATATATTTTGGCAAGCATAGCTAATATAAACTGTTAAATAATTAATTGACGATTGAAAGTCTTTTGCAATGATAATATATTAAATAAGTATAATTATTAAAATTAATCATAATATCTATAGTTTACAACTAAAGTTCAAATACTGCTCAATTTTATATTAGTCTACATAGGTATTTTAGTCAACCAACAATGTGGTGCTAGAATTTTGTGACCATACTACCTAACTTTAATATTTCAAATATAAAATGTTTAAATTACTTTATAATTTACATACTAGGCAGGCTAACCACATTAACCCATTTGTGGTGCTAAGCCTTTTTATAAAAATATTATTCCAGGTATACTATTTTAGTGAATTTATACACGTTGTAAACAGTGGACATGTCAGTAAAAAAAATAGATGTCCAATGCGTGTGGATCCTGGAACTCAAAGGGTTAATAAGCTTAGGGTATCCCTTGCGAACCCTCCTGCAATGAAGCGTTAATTTAAATTTAATCATAATAGAATGCTCATTATTTTTAATAATTTGTTCATTAGAATTATATTATTTCTTAGAACGTTTAGTTCGAAAATCAATTAACTAAGTTTTAGGTCTTATTACAGTACGGAGTTGAGTTTCTTTTCTAGCCATACTGACGTAATATCCGCATGAGTCAAACATGTGACGAGTTAAAAACGATCTTTAAATACAAACGACCTCAGTAATAATTTGCAAACCCACCGTAATTGGCAAAGGAGAAATGTGTTCGATGATAAAAAATGGTAGGGCTTTTAAATAAATTCAAAGCATAATCTAGTGTATCTCTAGTCTCATAAGTACGTTCTTATTTCGTTCTCGTCTCGCTGATGTCACCTAGTCAGACATTTTGAAAATTTTTAAGTAGTTTAGACCAAAATTATATAGGTTTTATTGCTAATATTGAAAACTAAAATATGTTTTAGGATCAACAATAATATTGTTAAAATGTAAGTGTATATTTTTTCGATATGCAAAGTTAGTAAATTGATTAGTGGCTGTTATCGAAAATTATCTATTGAAATATCCATAAAGACTCGAGTCTACTTTGACGTATTCTATACAAAAATATGTACCAATATTTTGACATAGTACTGATGAAATACAGGAGCTTCGAGGGTAGTTAGAAAAAAAAAAAATTTATACTTCATAAATGATTTTTAAATATTTTATAAACTTTATTGAATAAACTTGGTCGATCATCTAAACATTTCGTTAGTGTTTTCACGTATTGTTTTTGCTATAAATAATAATGTAGTTTGTTATTATTATATTTAACTAAAAAGTTTTATTACATACGAAATTCGTCTATGTAGAATTGCAATATGTATAATGAATTTAACGTGTAGATCTCAATAACCGTTTTCTTCATTGTGAGTGGTTGAAATTAACAAATTGGATTTAAGTCTATATGAAAATTTATGGATTACAAATTGATTGCACCCGTTAAAAAATTCAATGTAATTTTTTTTCTTAAATACCCCGCAAATGTGCACTTTTAATAGGCTGGTATCACCTACATAATAATAATCAATTTGCATTGCATACTCCACGAACGCTACACGTTATGAACATATCTGGATGTTTTAACTATTATTAAATCTGTAAAGTGGAAAATAAAGACAAAACGAATTTATAATTATTAATGTTCTATACATATATTTTCTACACGGATTGGAACGTGGAATTCATATTTGTTAAAAAAAAAGTTGTTATGTAAAATAAAAATTTTTAAAACATTGCTTTGTACTTGCGTGAAAAATGTGGATGAATTTTCATCGGGGGAAAATGGAGTATAAAAAAATTTTAATTTTTTTAACATTACTTAATAACAG